GTCACGTGTCAAACTCAAGGCCCGCGGGCCAAACCTGGCCCTCCACAGCATTTTACTTGACCCCTGAGAGCATAAAAAATGTATTAACATATTTAAATTAAGAGTATGAAGCTTTAAATCCAGCAGTAACCATAAACTACATCTCCCAGAATGCATGTTGATTATTTTACCCACAAAATTACAACATTCCACAACTAGGTGGCGCTACAGCGGAGTTGTTTGCAGGCTACTTTTGCTGCAGCCTAGTTGTATGCCGAAGTGGGAACTTCCCATTTACAAGTTGTAAATTTAAACTGGAACACCCCTCTAGTGGGAATTCCCTGTTGGAAAGTGGGGGAGTTTAGAATCTGAGATGGCAGCTACTTATAAAACTCTCTTACTTTTATTTTAATAGTATTTCTGTAGTATTTATATCGCATTTAGTCAGTCGTACATGTGGTACTTTTCAGTGTTTATAAGAGGACGTGTTAAAACGCTGTTTCTATGCAGGAAATACCAGGTAGAGCTGAGTTAGTGTTTGTTAGCAGAGCTCAGTTGTAGCAACTAAACGAGAAACGTGTAAATTACAACTGTCCCCCATTTCCTCCCGATTTGAGTTATTCCAACATGTTTTATTGCTGAGATTTTAGCTCATATTAATTCTTACCTATATTATTCATTGTAATTATAAATATTGCAATAACTCGTTAAAAACAGTTGTTTCAGGTCATTTTTWTCTGAACAACCAGTGTTGTATWAAATATCTRAAAGTGATACTTGAGTAAAAGTACCAGTATCATATCATAAAATGACTTTGGTAAAAGYTAGTCTTCTCTAAGAAACTTGAGTAAAAGTTTTAAAGTAYCTAATTAATATTGTACTTGTAGGTGAAGTTTTTGGGTGTTTTTAWTGATGAAAARCTGACATGGAAATCTCACATAAATCACTTAAGAACAAAARTAGCCAAATCCATTGCAGTATTGTACAAAGTAAAGGAGTTGTTTAATGATAAAGCACTGTTTATATTACATAATGCAATAATTGTTCCACATTTGATTTACTGTATTGAGGTCTGGAGGAAAGCATGTAAAACAATTACAAATCCTATTTTTATTTTACAGAAAAGAGCCGTAAGAATTATTACCAGAAAACATTACAGTCACTCATCAAATATATTATGTCGTTTGAAATTATTGAAATTTTGTTGGTTGAGTTGGTTGATCATAATATTTTGCAGGTTATGTATAAAGCTCATAAAAATTTATTACCTCTAAATATTCAATTAAATTTTGTTAAGAGAGAAAGTAATTATAACGTTAAGAGACTAGAGATGTTTTTAAAGAACAAAATTCAAACAAATTTGAAGGACTAATGTACTTCAGTCCAAGGAATAAAATTGTGGAATAGTGATTATAAAAATGTTGGCTCAATAAATTTATTTGAGAGAATGATAAAAGTTAGGTTGTTGAAGAAATATGAATTTTTATAACCTGCATTCATAAGAACKGTTGTTCGAGAAGGAGTTGAAGTTTTTTGTTGTCTTTTGTTATTTGAAGGTTATTGTCGTTTGAATTTATTTAGTTGAAAAATGGGGCAGATATTAATAAGAATCATTTCCTTCTTTCTGCTACCTTTCATTTTATTTGTGTTTTGTATTATTATTTGTTGTATGTAAAGCA